CACATGTGTTCATCAGCCAGGTTGGCAAAATAAACCTTAACTACCGGCATCTCAATCCAGTATTAATGCTTCCATTCTACAGTGTACTAAATTGATCTAATCAATGCATTAAGATAAGGAAAAGAAATTAAATGCGTAAACATTTGAAAGAAGCAAAACTATTAGCAGATGAAATGATTTTCTGAATATAAAACTCAAAAGAAGTGCCAATTTTTAGAGAGAATGTGAGTTTAGCCAAGATGGCGTAGTACAAAACCAGCTTTAAGAAATCAATTTTATTATCTATACCCCAGCAGGTGGGAAAACTTTTCTAAAATAATATGCTTTACAATAGATACCAAAAGCTTATGATACCTAGAGACAAACCTATCAAAAGATACACTTTGACCAACCTGAAAACAGCCATAAAACTTTATTTACAGACATTAAATAACATCAAAAGATAAAGAGAGATCCCAAATGCATGAGTAGGAAGACTTAGTATCAAAAAAATGTCGATTTTTCCTAAATTGACCCAGATAGTGAATGCAATGCTGAAGTCCAAGCAAGCTATTTCATGAAAAGTGACAAGCTATTTTCTTAGGTATAAGAAAGAATAAAGGCACCCACTGCTAAAATTAGAAAAAACTGTGAGGTTCCCAAACCAGATATCAAACCTCAAGATAAAGTCAAAATAATTGTAACAATAGTGACTAGTGCAAGGTTGGACAAACTGACCTTTAGAAAAGAATAGCAATCTCCAAAACCAACCGACTACTTATTATCTAATTAATTGGCAGGTGACATGGTTCAATATTTCTTAAATTAAAAGAACTGATGAAAACTGTAAAATTGATTATCCGTACTGAAGGATTCTATGAGCAAAATATCGAATGATGCAAGAAGCATCAAAAGATGATGAAAAGGTCTTAAACCAAGCAGCTTCTAAGTGAGGTATCAACTAAGTTCACGTGGAAGAAGCATATCAGCCTATGTGATCCAAAGAGTCTAAGTAATAAAACTCAAATCCAAAGAAGGGAACAGCATTAGAAGTTTAAATTCTAAACACCTGGTTTGCAGAAAGCTATGGATGATAGTGGAAGTCCAAAATCCATTTGCAGGATCCTCCTCACATGGATTTATCCTCAGTGAATCCTCTCTGAACCTAAGATGGAGTTTATGAATCGCCTTGCTATTAGACAGAGAGCACTGTAAAGTCAATTATGGCAGATGTAATTAGGTTAAAATTTAATATCTTATTTAATTTCCCTTTTGATCCATTTTAAAGTTATTTCAGTTTTTATTATTTTCTGCTTTTTGATTAAGGTTTGTTATGTTTTGTCCAGTCATTGTTGGGGTTTTTTGTTTGCTTTCTTCCTTTTTGTGTTTGTATGATTTACTGTATATAGAGTCCAGGATATGTAAATCTAGAGACAGTATCTGGACAGTAATCTATGGGCATGGCAGGGGAGGCTGAGGGGAAAGGGAGCAAGAACAACAATGAATATGAGAAGAAAGTCTTCTGAAAGTGATGTGATAATGACCATACACTCTTCTTAATATGAACGATTAAATTGTATGACATGTGAAGTATATGCAAATAAAACTACTTTTTTTTAAAGATGGAAAGAATGCCCTGTGTCAAAAAGTAATGGTCAATGTTCGACCATTTCAAGAGATAGCATAGAATCAAGAACTGATGGTACTGAAAGAAGTCCAAGATGCACTGAAAGCATTAGCAAAAAAACAAGGTTCCAAGAATTTACAGGAAACCAACTGAAATGCTTCAAAAACTGATGCAGCTCTGGGAGTACTCACAAATCTACGCCAAGAAATTTGAAGAACTACCTGGCAAACCAATTGGAAGAGATCCGTATGTGTTCCCAATCCCAAAGAAATATGACCCAACAGAATGCGAAAATTTTCTAACAATATCATTAATTTTACATGCAAGTAAAACTGGCTGGAAAAATTTTTTTTAAATGACTACAGCAGAGTATCAACAGGGAGTTGCCAGAAAGTCAAGGTAGAATCAAAAGAGGATTCAGAATAAGGCAAATCATTGTTTCTATAAGATGGATCTTGGTTGTGTGTTTTCACTTGGTGTACTTGTGTTTTATTGCATATGAAAGGGCATTTGACTAGGTGGATCATAACAAATTATGGGCAACATTTCAAAGAACAGGTATTCTAGAACACTTAATTGTGTTCATGCAGCACCTGAACATGGACAAGGAGGTAGTCTTTTGAACAGAACAAGAGAATATTGCACGGCTTAAAATCAAGGGAAGGTGTGCATCAGAGTTGTAATCTTTCAGCATACTAATTTAATCTGTATGCTGAGCAAGTAATCTGAGAAACTAGAAGAGAAGAATGCAGCTTCATTAATAAAATGAGAAGTAGAAAAAAGGCACACATACCCCTCTCACAATTTCATGGCAAAATGGCATCTCAACGGGAGTAAATTCTTAGTGTCTTTTTAAAATATCAATGTTATTTTTTAAATCATTTTATTGGGGGCTCTTACAGCTCTTTTAACAATCCATGAATCTACTGTGTCAAGCACACATTTGTACATATGTTGCCATCATCCTTTTCAAAACATTTCTTTTCTACTTGAGCCCTTTGTATCAGCTCATTTCTTTTCCTGCCTCTCCCCAACCCCCTCCGAACCCTTGATAAATTATAAATTATTATTATTTTCTTATCTTACACCATTCACTGGCTCCCTTCACCCATGTTTCTGTTGTTCGACACCTGGGGTGGGGAGTGGGGGTTTAAACATTGATCACTGCGATTGGTTTCCCTTTCTCCCCCACCCTTCCATTGTTATTTTAAATACTCAATTTCTTTGGTTTCTTTTCCACACAAAACACCAGCATGTGGCTATAAAGACTAATTTAAGGATACCAGAAAGATGTTTACTTGTGTTTTACTGACTATGCAAAGACATTTGATAGTATGGATCATAACAAACTATGGATACCCGAGAGATGCATGAGAATTCCTGAACACTTCAATGAGTTCATGCCGAACCTGTACATGGATCAAGAGACGGTTCAAGTGAGTACTGCATAGTTTAAAATCAGGAAAGGTCTACATCAGAACTGTATCCTCTCCTCATACTTTTTCCAACTGTATGCTGAGCAAATAATCTGAGAAGGTGAACTATATATGAAGAAGAATGCTGCATCTGGATTAACAACTGTGGTATGCAAATGATACAACCTGCTTGCTAAAAGTAAGATCAAGGCTTATAGCTTTCAGTATGGATTATAAATCAATGTAAGGAAGACCAAAATCCTCACAACTGCACCAGTAAGAAACATCATGATAAATATAGAAAAGATTGAGGCTGTCAAGAATTTTTTTGCTTGGATCCACAATCAATGTTCATAGAAGAAGCAGTCAAGAGAGAAAACAATACATCTCAAGAGTAAATCTGCTGCACAAAAATCTCTTTAAAGTGTTGAAAATTGAGTGCCCCCCCCCAAAACAAAAACAAGCACATATGGAGAGTTTAAAGAGATTATTGTTGATTCCTTTCTTGAGATGGGCTGTGTAAATATATAGTATATTTCTTTCAAAACAAACAAAAAATCCCTCCAGAGTGGTTTGAGTGGCTTTAAAAAAGAGGAAAAGTAAAATTGAAAAGGACTTGAAGTCTTTAGTGACAAATTCATCTCACACACACAAAAAAGAAAAGCCATGATATTTTTCAATTTCCACCTTTGCATATTAAAATTGGGCACCGAATAAAAACGGGCAAAGAAGAACCTATGCACATTTGGATTATGGTGCTCGCAAAGAATACTGAGAGTATCATAGACTGCCAAAAGAACAAAGGCATCTGTCTTGGAAGAAGTACAGCCAGAATGCTCCTTAGTGGCAAGGATGGCAAGACTTGGGCTCACGGAAAGCCAGTCCCAGGAGGGCATAATTCTAAGTGGAGGGGCATCAAAAAAGAAGCAAACCCTCAACAAGATAGATTGACGCAGTGGCTGCACTGATAGGTTCAAGAATTAGAACAATTGTGAGGATGGCACAGGATTAGTGTTTTGTTCTATGGTGCATGAGATCACTAGGGCCAGAACTGACTCAACAGCACCTAACAGATAACAATTATTTCATGCTTTACACCTTCCTCAGAACATAAAGCTACAATCACTGAGGTGTTAGTCCCCGGCAACCCCATGTACAACCACAAGGTTTTCAAGACCATGACCTTGTAGAGTCATCACCTCAGGCCTCTCTTTTGAGGTACCACTGGGTAGATTTGAATCAGCAACTTTTAGACTAACAGTCAAGCACTCAACAGTCTGTGTCCTCAGGGAGAGTCGTTCTCCCACTGCCATGGAGTCAGTTTTGACTCCGAGCAACCTTACTGTAGAGAAGAGAACTGTCTCGGTGGGTTTCTGAGATTGTGACTCTGGAAGAGGAGATAGCCTCATCTTTCTCCTATTGAGTGGCTAATTGTCTAAAACTACTGACCTTGGAGTTTGTTAGTTGCCATTTAAACTTATGAAGTAAGACATGCTTTCTTTTCTTTTTTGCAAGTGCTTTACTCATCTATACTGGGTCACTTAAACAGAAAGTGGAGTAACAGAAAACTTGGCAGATTATCACATAAGTAAATGTAAATATAGCATTTTCATGAAGACATAAAAAATCTTCAAAGAAAAACAAAATATGTATATATTCGACAATGCTTTGATTGTTCTTCATTCTTCAAAATCATTAAATTAAATGTTTAATCAATATCTGCATTTAGAGCTCTGAATTAAAGACAAAACTCCACCTACACTCTGACATGAAAGAAAATATACATTTACATGAGTATGTAAACTATTTTTATCCCAAGCTGAGGAGCATAAGAAAATCAGAGGATCAGCATTTTAGATTAACATCTTATATTTTTTAAAGTTATATAACAATCATTTTAGTGTTATACTATAGTGTTTTCCCTCAGAATACCTCAATATTAAGTGTGAATGTACATTTTTAAAAAAAGACTTACTTACCTTTCAAACCTAGAGTTTGTAGCTGGAAGAGCCGACCAAGTTCATAAGGCAAAACCCGTAACAGATTGTTATTTAAAAGCAATTCCCTGTTTTAAAAAAAGACATTTTTGTTTTAGTTTAATATGTCAAGTTTAACAAATATCTACAATCGCTGTTCTTAATCTTCCAACCAACATCTCATAAGTTGGAATATCAAGCTATATTTCTGAATGTTTATCCAAAAGTGTTGTTTAATATTCAAATACCATGAAATATCTGTCAGAATTTAAAATGGTTGTATAATATATTTGTTATCTAACAGAAACTAGAGGTGTACAAATTATGTATCGTTCTCACACTAATCTACTCCCAGTTCCCCAAATGCCTACCAAATGCAAATCAAAGTGACATTATACAGATAGTCTGGAACCAGTATATTCACACGATGAACAATCAGTGACACAGAACATAAATATTAAAAGGAAACAAAGGCTACCATATATGAAATCTAAATTTATGGTTGGAAAAATCCGGGAAATCTATATAGGGCAAAAATAAGGGTGGGGGGGAGGGAATGACCATTACTGGATCATTGTAAGGTGATGGTGAACAGCAAGATTCTTATTTTTAAACTTAATTTTTAACATATAAGTGTTAAGAGCATACAAGTCTTTTAAGAAATTCTTAAGAGACCTTAAGGCATTAGACAAAAAGCCATTATTACATTTAAGGCTAACTTATGACATTGTAATACGAAATATAAATATACCTAACCCTATACAATCAGTTATGTTGCTAAAAATGTTATTTCCAAGAAAACCATATTTCCCCAATTACTTCTGATTAACATAATCCAATACCTGAGCCTAAACTGAAGCTTTTTTTATTTTAACCTCACATGACCTCAAGTTTGGGGTAACATGTTGATAACCACATTTTTATTCAGGAACTTCTAAATTTTAAAGCTGATCTTCTTACACACAAATCCAACAGTAGCTGAGTTAACACCCCATAATTTACTTATCAGATAAATTTAGAATTTTATATAGTGAGTCATATCTATAATATTTCCTCACCTGAGAGACACCATATTTCCTAGTTCTGCTGGTAAACTTCTGAGTTTATTGGATGACAGATCCAGGTAAACCAGATTATGAAGCTTGGCAATATCAGGTGGAATGCGACTAAGATAATTATCATTTAGGTGCAGCGCTGTCAAGTGTGTCAATGACCAAAGTGATGTACTTAAGCTCCGCACTCTACCTAAAAGGCAAGATATTGAGGTATTAAACTCAAGATCCAAGAATAAAACTGCAAAGCAACAAGGAATAAAAAGTGGGAAAATAACTGCAAATACATGAAAATATTTTATTTTAGCAGTTTAATTTTGCACTTAATACCATTGATTGCTTATAAATGGAGCCTACAGTCCTTTAACTTCTCACCGCTTTGTCATGAGAACCATTCTTTATAGTGGACCATCTATGTATTAAATGCCATTTAGCATAATGAGGATGTGTTGAGATCATGATGATTAAATAGAAAGCATAGGATTGAATAAGCTTTTGTGGTAGAATAGCCTTCTTTTTTTTTTTTAAGTCTTAGATAAAACAAAAGTACCTTTCATATAATCCATGAAAATTGAGTAAAACGTTTATACCTTTCCAGGGCCTGGACTAAGCTACCAATTTTGAACAGAAAAAAATTTGGCAGAGCTAACCACCACAAAAAGCATTTTATTTCCACAGGACACGTCTTCTCCAACTTTCTGATTATAAAATATATGCTGCGAACTCTGGCCAAAGGTTTTGCATTACATGCAACATGCTCAATGAAACAGTTATATTACGACTTCATCATTTAGGCAGCAGATATAACAATTTACCGCACTATAAAAAAGATTCAGAAATGTTGACTGATTCATAATTCTGGTTTTTACTACTTATTAGCTATAAACCAGAAAAGCTAAAATCACTGCCATTGAGTCAATACTGACTCATATTGACCCTATAGGGCAAAGCTGCCCCTTTGACTTTCTGAGACTGTGACTGTTTACGAGAGTAGAAAACCCTGTGTTTGTCCCTGGAAGGAACTGTTGACTTTGTGGATCATAGCCCAACATGTAAACACTATGACATCAGGGCCCTTTATTAGCTTTAAAAGCCTAGGCAAATTATCAGTTTGCCTCAGTTTCTACAGAAGGTGTGATATCATCTAAACTACAATAAGAATTAATTATGTAATATAATTTATATAAACGTATTTTACAAACTCAACAAAGGTAAAGTGGTATTTTAATTATGTATCAATTTCCATGGCTAGATTCTGATAGTAAGAGACAGTGGAAGCTAGAGA